GGGGGGGGGGGAGCCTGGGGCTGCCCAGGCGGGTGGGGCGGGATGCCGGCTGGGGGGCCGGGGCTGCCGGCTCCAGCCAGGGCGGGCGATGGGCAGCAGCCTCTTCTCACCGCCTGTTTTTTTTGCAGATGGGTCAGATCCTGCTGGGAGCTGGCGCCCGGGCTGGGGGCTGCCCCCCTTCTGGGGCGCTGCAGGGACCCCCGTGGGGGCCGAGTGCGTGTGTGCGCGTGTACAGAGTAATAAAGTCTATTTATGCTAACGGCGACCTGCCAGGCTCCGTCAGGCTGGAACCTCCCCGATGTGGCTGCTGGGGCGGCTCCTGGGGGCTGCCCCACGGGTGCAGGCAGCTGCCAGGCTCCTCTGCCCTGGCCCCTGCTGCTCCCTCTCCCCTTTCCCTGCCTGCCCAGCGCCGTCCTAACGCCTCCCCTGGGCCGCTCTCGGGGCCCGTCCTGGGAGCCTTTCCAAGGCCTCTTCATTAGCGCTGCCTGCGGTTGCGGCTTGGGCAGGGATCTGGCAGGGAAAAAGCGGGGAGGCCTCCCCGGAGGGGAAGCACCCGTGCCGGCTCGCCTGAGCGAGGTCTCGGTTCCTCACAGCCGCTGGAGGATCCCCGGGGGCTCCCGCCGGGCCTGGTCCTGCCTGGGGACGCCGTTGTCCCTGGCCCCTGCCACGTTCTCCCTGCAGCGTGGCCCTGATTGCTTTAAAGTCTGCGTGTTATCACCCACCCCAGCCCTGGGGCTCACCAAATCACGCCGGGACAGAGGCACCGCCACCGCCACCCGTTCCCGGGCAGCCCCATGGGCACCGCTTCCTTCTTGAAGAGGGCCCAGGCTCTGCTCCACGTCCAAAACCAGCTGGCGTGGGAGCTCCTGGCTGGGCTGCCGGCCGTCTTCGTGCCCGCCAGGGCTGACCGTGGGGCAGCGGCAGCGCCGGGGGTCCCAGGGCTCCCCTGCCCGTCCCTCGCCGGGAGTGGTGCGGTTTGGGGCTGCGCCGTGCTCGCTGGCCGACTTGGCACTGCCTGGCCTCCCGCTTGGACCCCGTTCCTGCGGCGTGGTACGCCCTCCGCCAGCGGCGGCTCCGGCGCGATAAGGGCACGGGCGCTGTGCCTTGACGCCTCCCGCCCTGGAACAGGCAAAGGTTGGGGCTCCGGAGCCGCGCTTGGCATTTGGGCTGCATCCCGCGCCGGTGGCACCCCTTCCCCGCCGTCTCCCCAGGGAAGCAGATTACTTAATTGCTCATAATTTGTTTACCATGCTGGCAAAACCACAAGCGAGACCGGTAACCACCTCCCTGCCTGTCCCCGGCCGGTGCCATGGAGAGAGCGCAGGCGGAGGCACCGGAGCGGCTCTCGCCTCGCTGCCCTTCTGGCACCTGGGGCCGGCGCTAATCCTGCCGGTGCAGCGCGGCGGGGCAGCGGCCCTCGGGGAGCAGGGGGGCTCAGTGAGGGGCCGTGGGGGAGCCCTGTCCCTCCTCGCCAGCCGATCGCCCTGAGCGGCTCGGCACAGACGGGCACCAGCCCCGGGACGAAGGGGAACATCCCCCCCGCTGCCCGGTGGGTGCCCTTGGGCCGTGATCAGCCGCGTGCGGGGCGGGGGGAGTCTCCGGTGAGGCTGGGGAGGGGGTCCCAGCTCCCGCTGTCTCCCGGCTCCAGGCCCCCGGGGCCTTCCTCTCCCAGCCCCTCTCCCCGCGCCCTTGCGGGGGCCCCCCTGAACCCGGCGCTCTCCCTCGCCACGTGCCCGCTCCAGCCGTTTCCCTGGTGGAAGTTTCCCATCTTCGTGGCCGCACAGACCTCGGGAGCTTTCATCACCGCCGGGGGAGGGGGTCCCAGCTCCCGCTGTCTCCCGGCTCCAGGCCCCCGGGGCCTTCCTCTCCCAGCCCCTCTCCCCGCGCCCTTGCGGGGGCCCCCCTGAACCCGGCGCTCTCCCTCGCCACGTGCCCGCTCCAGCCGTTTCCCTGGTGGAAGTTTCCCATCTTCGTGGCCGCACAGACCTCGGGAGCTTTCATCACCGCCGGAGCCATCTACGCCCTCTACTACAGAACGGGGAGGCGAGTGGGTGCCCGGCGGGGGAACACCGCGGCAGTGCCGGCGTGGCCGGGCTCGCAGACGGGCTCTGCCTCTGCTCTGCAGAAGCCGTCCGGCGCTACAGCAACGGGACCCTCGCCGCCTCCAGCCCCTGGGAAACCGCCTCCATCTTTGCCACCTGCCCTGCTGGCTACCTCTCCTTCTCCAATGGCTTCTTGGACCAGGTGGGTGCCGGCGTTGGCTCCCCCAGACCCCTCCGGTGGTGCCAGTCCCCACGGCGCTGAGCCACAGGTAATGGGCACGGCGCTGCTGATCGTGGGTAACTTGGCCACCCTGGGCACCCACCAGGGTGTCCCCAGTGGCCGCGGCCCTGCCGGGGTTCTCTGTCGAGATCTCCCTGGGCTCCAACTGCGGCTGCCCCGTGAACCCCGCACGGGATTTCGGGCCCCGGCTCTTCCCCTGCGTGGTGGGTTGGGGCGCAGAGGTCTTCGGGTGGGCAGAGGGAAGGGGGCGAGGTGCGGGGTGGCAGGGGTGACCGAGATGTCACCCGGGGAGAAGTACACCGGGGGTGCTGCCTCAGAAGAAGCGATGCCAGGGTCCCCCCTGCCACCCCGAGCTGGCGGCACGGTCCCCCCCGCAGTCCCCGTCACACCATTAAACGAGCCCGGAGGCCATGGGGTGCCTCGTGTCTGGACACGGGGGGAGGCAGCAGCCCCCAGCCCCCCTGGGGGGGCAGAACCGGCCAGGCCTGGCTGTGGGGGGACCCCGGCCCAGGGGGCATGTGCCTCGGCACCCCCCGGGGCTGTCCCCGGGACCCCCGATGCTGCCCCTGGTACCCCCTGGGGCTGCCTCTGGCCTCCCAGGACCCCCCGGGGCTGCCCAGAACCCCCAGGGTTGTACTCTGGGACCACCCGGGACCCCCTGGGGCTGCCGCTGGGATCGCCCCTGGCTCCCTGGGACCCCCTGCTGTTGCCCAGGACCCCCAGGGTTGTACTCTGGGACCACCTGGGACCCCCTGGTACCCACAAGGATGCCTCTGGTACCCCCTGGGGCTGCCCAGGACCCCCCATGGCTCCCCGGGACCCCCTGGTGTTGCCCAGGACCCCTGGGGTTGTACTCTGGGACCCCCTGGTACCCCCTGGGGCTGCCTCTGGCCCCCCAGGAC